TCTTTTGTCAACTGGTTTACTTGTTTTTAAATTGCTCAATTTACATTAGGATCCATAGGAGTGTCTGCAGGTTTACAACCCAACATACCGGTTTTCTTTAATAAATCAAGAACATACTGTTTTTGAGACACTAAAATTCCCTCTCGGTTTTGAGCTATCTTCATACTAAGAAAGTATTGAACTTTACCAAAATCTTTTATTTCGAATTCTGAAACAAGACCTTTCTAGACTCGGGTAATTTCCTCAATGTTATTTCATATTGTAATAATATCGTCAACGTAAACTATTATGATAGTCACTTTATTCTCTTTGTGGTAGAAAAACAGTGTGTGATCTGTCTGTGCTTGCATATAACCTTATCATTTTATTGCTTTCATGAATCTGTCAAACCAAGCACGTGGAGACTGTTTAAGGCCATACAAACTTTTCCACAATTTGACTACCTTGCCATGGATGCTATTATTAAATCTTGGTCGTAGGTTCATAAAGACATTCTTCTCAAGTTCTCCGTTTAAAAAAGTATTCTTTACATCTAATTGTTGTAAGGGCCAATCTAAGTTAGCAACAAGAGATAGAAGTATACGTAGCGTATTGATTTTTACAACAGGAGCAAAAGTCTCTTGATAATTCACACCATAGGTTTGTGTATAACCTTTTGTGATTAGTTTAGTTTTATACCTTTTAATAGTACCCTTGACCTTGCATTTCACTGTGAAGACCCACTTACATCTAATAACAACTGTCTTTTGGCTTTTCCACCACATCCCAAGTCCGGTTCTTTTCTAATACACGTATTTTTTCCAAAATAGCAGCTTTCTATACTGATTTTTTCAAGACTTCACCCACTGTTTTTGAAATCTCTACCTCTGTCAGATTTGTAACAAACGTCTTGTAGTGTTTAGAAAGCTTATTATACCAAACAAAATTTGAGATTGGGTAATGAGTGGAAGAGTTGGTTTCCTTTCTCACATCTATAGGAACTTCTAGGTCATGATTCTCAAGATCTGGATCCGGATTTGAGGTTTGAGGTTGCAGAGGTTCAATTGCTTTCTTTCGATTTTTTCTTCTGTAATAAGTTAGCAGATCTTTGATTCTATGATTGACAATAGTGATAGACTGTAAAGCTTTTTTTGATAGTGGATTTGTGCTTTTGATCTCAGTTTTGGTTAAAAAGATTATTTTCTTATTTTTCATCACAGATTTTGATGTTGGCTGATTAGAATTTTTTGCAACTTTTGGAGTTTGTGGGACAGGATCTCAGTTCAATTCCTACGGATTTGAGGCAAGGTTTGGTGTGATGGGATTTGATTTTTTGATTGAATATGAAATTTTCTCATTTAAATCCATATATGGAGATTTGAACTTTAAATCTGGAAAAATAATCTCACTATTGCCTATTTTAAATTGTTCTCAGAAATTTGGATCACTTCCACTCTCTCTCTGAGGCAAATTTCGGGTATAAAAAGTCTGATTTTAAAAAAAAATAACATCAGTAGAGGTATAGTATTTTATTTTTTGGGGACAATAACACTGATAACCTTTTTGGGTAGTATAATATTTAAGAAAAACACATTTTAGGGAATGGAGATCTAATTTCGACTTCCCTTGACTGGGCACATGAACAAAAGCGACGTTTCCAAAAATCCGAGACTCTACTGGAGAGAAAACACGGTAATTAGGAAAGAAGGTCGAGAAATATTCAAGTGATGTTCTATATTTTAGAATTTTTGATGGAAGTCGATTAATAAAATAGTACGCTGTTAAGACTGCATATTCCTAGAAATGTTTTGGAACGTTTGTTAAAAATATGAGGGCACATGCAACATCAAGAAGGTGATGGTTTTTTCTCTTAGCCACACCGTTTTGTTTTGAAGTATCGATATATGAGTTTTGGTGTAAAATACCATTGGTTCGGAAAAAATCAGCAAGAATAGAATTGAAGTATTCTATACCATTATCGTTGCGAATAATTCGAATTTTTATATCAAATTGTATTTTAATCATCTGGTAGAAATTCTTAAAAATCAATGAAGCATTTGATTTGTTTTTTAGAACATAAACCCAAAATATCCGGGTATAATTATCAATAAATGTGATGAACCACTTTTGAGAGAAAAATGTAGGAACACGTGAAGGACTCCAAATATCAGTATGTATGAGGGTAAAAGGTGTGGATATATGATAATTTTGAATGGATAAGAACGTGCGAGTGTGTTTTGCCAATGCCAATATATTACATTGAAACATTAGCCTTTTATTTAAAAATAACTGAGGAAACAAATGTTTCATATAGGTAAAACTTGGATGACCCAATCGAAAATGTAATAACATTATTTATTTTTCAACAGAAATGGTAGACAAACACATAGAAGAGCCAACATTATTCATTAGTGAAGAGAAACTGAAAAATAGTAAAGGCCGTTTGAGACCCTAACACTGCTAATCCTCCTCCCCATCTTCAAATCCTGAAAAAACACAAGTATTTTTTGAGAAATTAACACCATATGCCAGGTTGGTAGTTAACTTACAAACAGAAATTAAATTAAAGGTTAATTTTGAAACATAAAGAACATCCTGCAAAATTGTAGGTGATAAGCAAATAGTTCATTTGCCAGCCACTGTAGAAAAAGTTCCATATGCCAATTGAATTTTTTGTTGTCCTGGAGTAGGTGAATAAGACAGAAAAATGGGAATTACCGGTCATGTGATCGGTAGCCCCCAGAATCAACAATCCATTGCTCACCTAAATTTAGCATACTTGCAATAGAGGGTTTCGATATACCTTGCCTTGCCATGAGAGAAGTGCTTGTAGCAGAATTACTTGTGACAGATGTAGAATTAAAAAGAAGGCTACACAAGTGTTCAATTTGTGTTTTTGTGAAATTAACAACTCCTGATTTATTAGTCGGTGGTGCTGCTCCTTTCTTTTTAACCGATTTGATACAAAATTCTTTGGCTTTCCATGAATCAGCCAACAAGTCTCCTTTGTGTGATATGCCTTGTTGCATTAATAACACCAGACATATTTTTTTGCAGAATTTTGTGATCAATTAGAAGAACCGTTCACAGCAAGAGCAGAGGCATCCACTTAGATGGCCATGGTGTCACCAAGCATAACTCGACGACGATGATATTCACGACGAATCTCTGCAAAGATTTCATCTATGGATGATAAAGGTCACACACCTAAGAGATGGCCACGTACATCATCCAACTCTATATTTAAACCAGCCAAAAAATCATATATACGATCTTTTTGGATTAGTTTATTGAAAAGGTGAGCATTGGCAGGATCTTTTCAGGGGGCTGAATGAAACATGTCAACCTCTTGTCACAATTTTCGCAAACTGTTATAATATTGAGTTACATCCATATCACCCTGACGAAGGTTGCGTGCACGATTTTGCAATTCAAACAATGAATTTTCCAAATCGGAATAAGTAAGAGTGACGACATCCTAGATCTCTTTTGCTGTGGAATGAAAAAGATAGGTTTCACCTATCTCATCCTCCATATAATGAATTAATCACGTCATGATTAAGGAATTGTTAGCATCCCATAATGCATACGAGAGATCATCAACATCCGAACGAGGAGAAGAGGAACCGTCTATGAAGGCTATTTTGCCTCTTCCCCTAATCACCAAAGCTGACGAACGAGATCATTGCAAAAAATTCTTCCATTTCAATTTTTGAGTGGTGATATGTAAGTTATGAGAAGTATTTTCTGCAGTTACAGCAGGAGCAATTGTGGAAACAGATTGGGCCTCCGAATCATTTCCTCTTATCTCCGACATGGTTCTCTCAACTTACTAGTTCTCTTTTTCTTCTTACTCTAATACCATAAAAGAGACTAGTAGGAAAAAATTTTATGTCTATACTGTACTGATTTGAATAATCTTCACAATTAAAAATAGAATCATGTACAGCGACATTATATAGCCGAGTAAGAGAAATATATAGGTCATAATTAATGAGATTCTGCAATCCTAATTTAATCATTCTAAATATAAAAATTTTACAAGATATTACAGAATATTCTTACATCCTAAAAATACAATCAATCATCTTAAATATAGAATAAATAATTAATGCTGAAATTACAATCAATTATCTTAAATATAAAATAAATAATTAATTGACTTTCCTTCAATATATTATCTTTTTAGCTCTTACAAAGCTTATTGTGATATTTTGCCTTATCGATACTCCTCTGTTTATGGGTGTGTCAATGTTTGTACTTCAGTGAATGTTGGGGTATCTTTTCCTACATGTTTGTTGTGTCCTATCATAATGAAACAAATAGAACTTGAGTAAAAAAGATCTTCAATGCCCAGAGTTAAGGTTGAAAATGCTGTTGTTTGCAGTTTTTGGAGAGTATTGGATATTTCTATGCTTTATCTTGGGGTTGGGTGAGTATAGGGAGCTTTGTGCTTTATGGAGAGGCGCTCAGCTTGTTGAATTGTGTGTTTTATGGGTTTATTTTTGAGATAGAGAATTCTCTTTTTGAAAAGAGTAAGAAAGGAATTAGGAATTATTCACAAAGCACCAATGGTGTACTGCCTATAACAAACATTATGTGGAAATAAAAATCAGTATACTTTGGGATGAGATGACTTTTTTGGTGTCTCCGCTGGTGAAGGTTTGTAGGCATTATGGCAATGCCTATTTGGCTATTTTCGTAAGAGAATGGACTGAAGTTTTCTCTAGATTTTGTCTCCTTTTTCTTTCTTTGAGGAGGATCTCTTATCCTTTGTTGCTGTACTTCATTTTTCTTTTCTAATAAAGAGTATCTTTATTAAGGGGTTTATGCGGGGATTTAGGAAAAAGTTGCTTGGATTTATCCATGATTTGTTCGTTCCTTTTGTTTTCTCTATGATGCACATTATTTGCAATAGTTTTCTGAAGCTTATTGCCTATTATGAAATCACATTGACTTTAGGGATTTACATAAGTAGGTTTATGCAACCTCTCCAAGTTAACTTCTCCCCCGTCCTGCAGGAACGCAAGCCAGAGCTGACGTCAGAAATAATGGCCTTTAGAGATTATCTATTGTCGTCAACAATATCAGATACACTTGATGTCTGGGAACTAAAGGGTATCTTTCAGTCATTGTTTTCTCTTTGCTAATTTCTTATAACTGTAATCTGTCTTATTTGATTTTTCATGACAGATTTGGGGCATCAAACAGCACAGAGGATAGTACATGCCTCTGATCCGTTGCAGTCAATGCAGGAAATTAACCAAAACTTTCCCAGTGTGGTTTCTTCTTTATCTCGGATGAAGGTAAATTATCCTAAAGATACTTGGGTTCGGATGAACCATGGAGTAACTGTTAATACTTGGAAATTTACTTATTGCATAAATTTTGTTATTTGTTGTTCTGATGAAAATGTGCTAATGTTTATGCAGCTAAATGATTCAGTTAAAGATGAAATAATTGCAAATCAGAGAATGATCCCCCCTGGCAAGTGCTTAATGGGTCTGAATGGTGCTTTAGTCAACATCGAAGATATTGATCTCTATGTGTAAGGCTTTTGGTCCCATCAATATTTTCTTTTTAAATGGAATCTTATTATTAACTAATCTGTTGAACTTTTAGATTCTTAGGAATTTGTTGTTTCAGCTCCTACTCATTATTTCTTTACTTATTCTTTGATAAAGAAATTATATTAATTGAAAAGCACCAAGAGGATGCCCAATAAGCTTTGATTAATTAATGTTTTTACTTTTTGGTTTCGGGCTTGGTAGACTTTCCTGTTCTACTTTCTTTTCTTTGAAATTTCTATCGCACTTAGAGAGCTGGGGGATCCTTTCTCCTTGTTTGCTGCTCCTAGGGATCATTGCTTGAGGATTGTTTCTATTTTGCTTAAAGGTTACCCATTCACAATGGGGTCAATGTTATTGACCTCTTTGACGTTCGTCTTTGAGAGAAGTGTAAATTCTTGTACATTTTCCTCTGGGCGATATCCTCTTCCTGCTTTTTAATGAGTTTGTAATTTTTTTTCTAGCCAAAAAGAATGGCTATGAGGAAGGCCATCACACAATCACTATTTCCATCCCTGAAAATGCCGATTTCCTCCTCTTACTATCTATCAAAGACACTAGCATTTTCCTTTTCGAAATGTGAAAGTCATAGAAGATGGCTAGATGTGAATTCTTTGTCACAATTCTTGCATGCTATACCAACCACATTTTACACAGTTCATGCTGTAAAATAGCCTTCTTAGTCATGGCAAAAATAAGAAGGGAAAAAGTATAAATGGTTATCTAATAGTTATATGGAAACCCTAAAACTATAGAATAGCACTGCATTTCTCACCTACAAAACAGTCAAGAGTGTTTTGGCTCACATTAATAGAATTGGACTGGAATAGTGACTCAGAGTCCTTTTATTGCAGTGTTTGATTTGCACATAACACTCTGTGTTGCAGAATTTCTATTGCCTGTGGAAGAAAATACAATTATAGTATTGTTTGATACTAAAAGTAAAGTTGGATGGTTGAATGTTTGTATAGATATAATTGGTGACTGTCAATTATTCATTGAAGTCTTAGAACTAAAGATTGTGGGTTAAACTAGGACTTCATCTTGTTTCTTGTGATTTATCCATTTTCTTTTCCTCTATTTCATCCATTTTTTGTTATATTTTCGTTTCACAATTTGGTATTATAGAAAGCATGTTCATTAATTTGTGCTTTCTTGTTTGAATTTACATGTACCAAGTCTGTAATCACTTGGACGTGAAAATATATGTTAGAATATAAATATCATTATTTGGGATAGCTACCCTTTTCCTTTTTTCATTGTTTCGACTACTGAATTTATCCTTGGAGCTTACATAAATCACAAGCTGACAAAGTGTCGAGCAAAGGTGATCATTCAGTTATATTATCATTTGATTTGGTTGGGTGTGGGTGATCTTCTATATTTAGCTTATATGGCCAAATCTGGCCACAGTGACGTAATTTAGTGTGGACCTAGCTTGAGCATGTTAAATTGGCTACATTACACCTGGTACGACCCAACTTAGTTGAGCAAACAACATTTTTTGCCAGATTATGCTGTTTTGCTCATTGATTGGACAGCCTTACCTGATTGGATAATTAATCAGGTAACACTTGGTTGTGTTATGCAGCATGTCTGGCTGTTTGATGCTTTCTTGACCTAGTAAGCCTAGCCATTAAAAGAGTATATCAAATGCATATCAGCAATACTATTATGTATTTAAGTCATCATTTTTTTTTAAAGAGCTTTTTCCAACCTTATTCCATCATTCAACCAAATGTCCGAATCTGAAAGGAGTAGCTATTCTCGCATATGAATCAAATTCACGAGCACGAGACTGTAATTCCTTTTCAACGTTATTGGATTTGTACAAGATGAAAAATTCTTCCACCTTGTGTTCCACTCAGCCACGCAAAGGAATTTAATTGCTGTTTTATGTTAATAGATCTTTTGTTTTCATTCTCTTCTTTTGGATGATTGTTTAACCTTATTTATTTTATAAGCTTTTTCATCTTATGTGATGATGTTTCTTTTCTTATAGAGGAGAGCTCTTTTGTTCCATATGTTCACAGGATATATTCTGTTTTTCTTTCACTTTTGCCTCCAGCTTTCACTTAGTGCCTTCAATAACAAAGTGTATTGTGGCTTTATTTCTAAAAAGGTGCTGTTGTTCTTTATAGGTTGATTGATTTGGTTCACCAGGAGCTGTCACTGTCCGATCAGTTTTCAAAACTGAAGGTACTCTTTTGTTGATTGCAAGCACTGGCATGGTAATATCGGGGTACCGGATGTATTTGACGCCATTAACTACATTTGTATTCATGGGTTGTGCTTTTTGTACCTTGTGATTATAAGAATTTTTTTGAGATAACCTTGTGATTATAAGAATATGACTTTTTTCATCTCATTTTTTAGTGGAGGATAAGATATTCTCTTGGAATCTTCAAAAGAAATCCCGAAAACATAAAAAAGACTTACACCGAATCCACTGAGGGGAAAAAATCACGAATCAGTTCCCGTTTAACACAGAAATAGCAAGATCAAAAAATTTCCCATGGCCTTTATCGATATGAGAGTAAAAATCTCATTCTCTTCCATAGATCTTGATTTAGAGAGCAACAATCTTTCAAATATCCTTCAATTCTGTCTTTGAGTCACTGGAACCTTAATTTTAGCAAAAAGAATTAATTTGTGGTATTTATTAAAAATTGAGAAATAGAGGTAATTTTGAGAAAAGCAAAATTATGGGGGAAGATTTTGGAAAATAAAGAATTAGAAGGGGAAGAAAAGGAATTTAGATAAAGGAGATATTTTTAGAGAGAGAAAAAGATATATTTTTAGAAAGAGAAAGAGTGTTCTAGAGAGAGAAAGAGTCTGTTAGAGAGAGAAATAGAGAGAGAAGATAGATTTGTGAGAGAGAGAGAGAGAGAGAGAGAGAGAGAGAGAGAGAGAGAGAAGAAAAGAAAGAACATAATGAAATCTGAGATTTTATTCCAAAAAGATTACTTATCTGAGTTTATGATAAATCCATTATTTATGTACATGAATTGGTATGAAAATCTTCATTTGCATCGTCGAACGCTGCTGGATGATAAAGAAAAGCTGCCTGTTCAGGCGAGGGAGGCATCAGCTGGAGAGAGAAAATCTGAAACACTTGGGTTGGTTCACCGTGTGGAGAAGAACGGTTCACCAGTTCAGGGACCGGATAGGCACCTAGGGTTTTGGGTTTTGCTTCCCCATGGGCGGTTCTACCGTTCGCACTTCGCTTCCTGTTTTTTTTTATCACATGCAGCCAATTTCACTTTTTCCTTCGTGCACCCATGCTTCCAGCCACATTTTGTCTGATTTTTCTGGGATCTTGATAGCTGCTTGTTTCCTGTGTCACAGTTATTTAAATTATTATTTTGGTTATCTGCGTTGAGCTTCTGTATCCTGTTTCTGCTATCTTCGGCTTTTTGTCAGTGAACAATGCATCTTTCGTTTCTGTTTTGTTTCTAGAGTTAATAACAATCTCTTATAAATAATTATTTCTTTTATGTTTTTATATGCATTTTTTGTTGTCTTTTGTTCTCATATAAATGTGAAATTTATAATTTTTGAATTATCCGGAATAAGCTGACACTGTTAGTGTTCTCAGATTGTGAATTATCTAGAAATGATACTAATAAACTGACATTGTTAATGTTTTCAGATTCCTCAAAGCACCATAAGGAAACTTCTATCATCTATGCCTCCTTCTGAATCTAATATGTTCCGTGTTGATTTTCGGTCGAATCATGTCCATTATCTTAATAACTTGGAGGAAGATTCAATGTATAGGCGATGGCGGAGCAATGTTAATGAGGTGCAATAATCTTCTGTTCATCATCTTTCCTGAAAATGAAGTTTATTTGTGCAAGTTTCCCCAGGAAAATTTGTTTCTAAATGTTATATTTTCTTTTCCAGATTTTGATGCCTGTCTTCCAAGGACAGTTACATTATATCCGGAAGAACCTTTTTCATGCAGTCTATGTCATTGATCCAGCCACAGCTTGTGGTCTTGAAGTAAATATTGAGACGACAGATAACTTGACTTTTTTGTTATCTTTGTGCTGAAAGCTTTTGAATTTATTTATTATTTGAATTCTGCAGTCCGTTGACATGATCACATCCTTGTATGAGAATAATCTTCCAATGAGATTTGGCATAATATTATATTCCGGAAAATTCATCAAAAAGGTTGAGATGAATGGTGGCGAAATCATTTCAAATGCTGCAGAAGTTGATTGTCAAATTAAAGACGATTTATCCAGTTTGGTACTTGCTTCATCAATATTGTTCTTGTTATAGGTTTTTCTTCAAATTATTTTTCTCCTGTCCGCTTTAATTTTTTCTATGCTGACTGCTTACCATATATGATCTGCTTCTGTCAGTTTCTATTATGTTCACACTGCTAATGGATACAATTGACTGTTGGGACTGTTTTTTGTTTTGCAGATTATACGTCTTTTTATCTATATTAAGAAAAACCATGATATAAGGATGGCTTTCCAGTTCCTAAGCAATGTACGAGTTTGCTACTTTTAACTCAATCTTGGTTTATGTCAATTAGCATTAGT